TTTTTATTTACGCGATCTAACAAACAAACAAAAATCCCTCAATTCCAAGACAATCTTATCCGAAATATATCTGATAGCTATGGCAAACTGATATAGGTATATCATAACATTTTATATAATTTCGTGAAAATGAATATTGCAGCAACCCTGGATGGGAGGAAATTTAATACTTGGGGTGAAAATTCATGAGGCCCAATGGAGGATTTAAATCTCATCATTCATATTTATTTATTTATACAGTACCTTTATTAAATCTCCATAGATTTATATTGGTTAAATTAAAGCATTTGACTGCATGACAAATTAATATTTAATATATTTGTTCTCATGAATAAAATATATATTCATAAGCATGCGGTCATAAATCTGGGCGATGAAAATCACGGCAGTTTGTAAAACAAATGGGATCACAACCACAGTGATTTCTCACCAGCTTGCGCGCACGTGCAAACTAATTAGAATTAGAATCACCTCCGCTCGTCATGCCCGGCGATGTGCCGAGTAAGATTGACATAAGTGTATGTTGAGGCATATTTAATAATATCAATTTATACACTCAAATGTTGCACGCCTTGAGTTTTCTTTGAGAGGCAGAGCGAGAAAAACACGTGGATTACAGGACGCGGTGTGACATCATTCAAACTGCTATGACGAACTCGTGGGCTTGAGCAAGACGCGTCGCTGCGAGAGATGATGAGAGGCGGTGGAGAATAATGACCGCATTGGTGCCAATTAATAGAACACATCTGAGTGGGTGTCCACTGAGGAGATGGAGCAATGCAATTATCTCGTCGTGTTGCAGGTGTCACGCGGGCTGTGACATCGCAGGATCGTCACAGGCGGTGGCAGTTTAGGGGGGCCGTGAAACAGCCGTGGGTGGAGCGGAAAGTGAAATAAAACACGAGACGGTTTATCGTGACAATTTCTGACACTGAAAGAGCTAAGCTGAGCTACGCTTCACCTCCTGCCCATTCGAGGAATTCTTACGATTCAGCGTTGCCATCCTATTTCAGAATACATTTTTTGCAGTCTTCACCGTCTTATTTGCACCATTTCGCCGTTGTATTCGTTCCAATAGCCTAAATGCACCATTACAATATAACTCGCGCTGTAATTTGCATACGCAGTCAATAACGAATTGATACACGGTGCGATCAGATGCGGTACACAACGTGAGCCTTAAGAATCAATATTGATAGGCAAATCAATGCATCGCCAGTGCCCGCTGTTGTGTAGATCCTCTGCCGTACAGGTGGAGAGGCGTCTTTTGCTATTGCATCGATCCGCCAGCCCAGAGCCTGACCAGCAAGGGCATTGGGAGCGGAATGATAATTTTCCCAAAAATCCCTCCCAGGTCCGCCATTTGGGAAGCCTTGTGCAACACGACCGGCACGTCTGCAGATCCCTCGCCGCTCTCAAACTGAAGATGGCGCAATTGCACCATTAACATTTACCTCTTGTGTTGCCAAGAGGCAAGCATAACTCTGAACAGTCCATTGTTGATGGATGGTCTGTTCCCATCTTGACATTACAGATCCCTCCATCAAGTAGCATCCAAATATTAATTGAGCAAAATATATTAAATTGTGATTATGCATATAAATCATCGTACCCCTCCTGTGGAAACTTGGCATGACCCTCCTGAAAAAGAGTCAAATATTATCCGTAGCGATGATAACAATAATATATTTGTCTACAGTGTCCAGTGCAGACAAGAGTAAGGGCTGTCTATTGTTGCATACAAGGCATCTAATATTTACCAGCCTTCTTCTGCATAATTGGATAACTTTTAATGATTTGCGACTGTGATTTGATTCAAGAATATATTTTTTGTCCCGCTTTCAACGTCTCATTGTTTCTGTCTCGTATAGTCTCATGAATTATATCGCTGAAAGGTATAACGGTCAGATAATTTACATTAATCTTAAGACGTTAATTATTACACGTTAGATTCCTTGCGTGTATAATTAGTGTAAAAACCTTTTAAATCTATGAATCATTATATGCCCTTTAGCTATATAACAAAACGGAACTATGGTGCCTCATAGTGCAGGGGATATGAAAACCACGGAATAATTATATTATCAAATATTAATTTGAAATAGATTAATTAATGCTAAAATTAGATATTTTGTGCGTTGATTTAGGGCGATGTTAAAACTCTTGTTTTCCTTCTTGTCATTTACAAATGTACAGATTAACAAGTATGCCACTCTTACGCTAAAAGAAGCACATTTCAGTGATTAAAATAGATTTATTTTCACAATTCTCGTTAAAGCTTAGAGAATTGTAAACATCACCTATTTTAATTGTACCCTTTGCAGTATTGACTTTGTTAATGATACACAGCAAAGACATCAAATACACTTTAAAGAGGCCACAATGCAGTATGGTGGACTTATATTTACATGCAAGATTTTTTGTATGGTAAAAACTCACGGTGGAAAGTATGTTTGTTTCTCGGTCACTTTTTATTTGATCAGCAAATTGTACAACATGTTTGTTACACCTAACCCTATTTTTAATAGGCATGTGTGACGTCACTAAATGCCATGGCTTGGCTTATGCCATGTTAAACTGCTCACATTAGTTACACTCTTTCGCACTGCAATTGACAATCACTGCAATAAACGTGTTTGAAATCGTACATGTCACCGCCATATGGAATGAAGGTGCTTGGCCACCTGAGATAAAACTTACACACTTTATGTGTCGCAAGATGGGCATCTCAAGCCCGGTAACTGGAGACTGCACAACAAAAGCTAAAACGGCTGTACACGTTTAATGTATATGTGCAGGGCATAAAACTCTTCACAATTTGCACCAAAGACCCGCGGTTTTAGCGACAGTGCAGCACTACGATATTATCACACGGCACCTGCTATGCTCAGTTTTATATATGCATATTTATTTTAAAAAATACTCTAATAGAAAATGTTTTTTTCCCCAAAAGGAAGGCTTAGGCTCTTGCTAGCATCTTCATACAATCTGTGGATAACAGGAAGAACCACACCTGTCATTCACTCAGTTGATGGACTTAGTTTGATTATCGGCTACAGCTAACATCAGTGGCGAGTAATATCTAAACCAATCACGAGCCCTCCCATTCACCAACCTGCACTGCCTATCATGATGAAGTATGTTCACACAACCCCCCCGTGACCAAGACAGCATCAGTGGATTGATAAAGGCCTGGGCATTATTAATTTTATGATTCAGTGATATGTGAGTCTATGACCAAAATGCCTGCATATGTTATTTTCAAGCAACACTTGCCTAATTGCATGCACAGTATGGTGTACTTGTATATATTGTACTATCTAATATATACCCAATAAGGAGGGTTTCAGATGAAAACATTTCAGATTTTGGATTCATAACGTCCAATTTCAGATTTAATTTAGGATTATTTTATGTTCAAAAGTAAGAGTATTCTAGATTTTATAACGCTCCTTATTTATGCAATCAATTTACTGTTTTAAATAATTTTAAACATTAATTATTGATTTTTTTTTATTTCTACCAAGTTCCGTCAGTAAAGCAATAATTCTAATGTAAACACTTTTACGTTTCACTAATTTCATAAAAATGTATATCACGTGATGGCACTTTTGGAGTGGAAGACAAAGATGTGATAATGCCTGAGACGTCACATTTTCGAATCAATCTGAAACAACGTTTTTCGGTTCTTCTGAAATATTTTCAGATATTTTTGGATTCATTTGAAAATTGGGATGGGGTAAAAAAAAAATCCCCTATACTCCAGATAGTACGAAAAATATTCCGTTTGTAAATTAAATTTTAAAAAAATGTGAATTGTTAAACATTGTGCGCAGTTTGTTTTCGAGGCGCGTGCCAACACGCCGTCAGTGCACCGGGCTGGGTGCGCCTAACGCGTCGGCAGCGGCGTTTGGCGACGCGTCGAGGAGTCCATGGCGAGCCGCGCAGGGCAGGAACGCGCCCACGCGTGGGTGGTGAGCGCCCGCGTGTACGTACACGGCGCGCGTGCGCGTGCGTGCGTGCGTGCGCGTGACACAGGCGGTGGGGGATCGTGGCTTTTAATGAGGCACAGCTTGTAATTGTTCCCAGAGCCGTGTCGAGGGCCCGTCCCAGCGTGTGGGTCTTAGACGTGAACCTGAATGGGCCTTTGGTGTGAACGCGCGCCCGTCGCCGCTCGCTCGGGCGAACCCCGTCGACGATTATCCACGCCTATGTTACATCCAGTCCATTAACTCCGCACGATTACCGCAGCCCGGCAACAGAGGGGTCCTTCGCCATATGGCATCTCGTTATGGGATAATTTGTGCCTTTGTGCCTTTTATTGCATAATGCATGTTAGCGTGCATAAGGAGATTGATAGTCGTGGCGGAAGCGGGTTGTAGCCCGCCGGATTTCTTTTTTGTGTGTGTAAGTGATGACATTACACGCCCAAATTGTTATTGCTAATAGTTTAACCCCTGCTAATGAATTAAATGATATATATCCGCGTGCGTCCACGTGCCTGTAAGAGGCGGTATGCCGCAATCTTTTTGTGTTTGATTTGTTGGGAATTAAAAAAATACCAGTGTGTGTAAATATTCATTATGTGGTTATCTGAAACTGCTTCAGTGATTTTACGTATGAGAAGTAAAATTAATAAGGTATTTAAAAAATATATCTGAAATATTCAATGTTGGCTGTAAAAAAGGAAAAAATTGTAGCTATTAGCAGATTAATTTATCTTAAATATTCAGCTTTAAACATGAAAATAATAAGTGTTCAACAGAATCAGCTGTGCTCAAAATAATAATTTGACTCCTGCTTTCATCGTATTTATTAAGAATGTGCTCCAAATTATTCAACATTCATACCAAAACTTGAAAGAAAACGTCAAATGGACAAAATTGTGTTCCTGAATAGATTGAAAAGATTGCGGCCATTTCTCAATCAGCTTAATGTTGGATGTGTTCATCGCAATGTGAGTGTGACATGATTTTTTTTCATTAATTTTATTTCAATAGGCAAATGTGTCTGTGGGATGTAAGCGATGGGCGCTGTGTGGAGTTCAGGCAGCATCCGTACGTACATACAGAAATGCATGTAAGTATTCACTTAATTTTTTTACGAAGCTAATAACATCCTGTACATCATTTGTTTGGCCTCTGGATGACCCAACATTTAAGTGTATTTTCCACGAAGTCGCATTGCGTGTAATTGATGATATCATTATTTTAGTCAGTAAATTTTGTCCGGTACAGTATTACCAGAGAAAAACATTGGTTGTAAAGTACCTGTGCACGATAAACATCCCCGAGTCATCATTTATAAGACGAGGCCATTGTCGTATGGTGTCATATCTAAAACAAATATGCTGGCAATAAGTTTGAATGCATAAATGTAAGCTTACAATCTCATATAGACGTGATTATCGAGTTGTCTTTTTCACAAGATGTATTGTGCATATACATAGGAAAACGGATATATGTTTTGGATGTTATACTCGAGTGCAGTAAGTTTTATACATATATATGTGTGTAAAATAAATCATCGTTCTCAGCCTTGATCAATGCATGAAGGCGTCCCCAAGCTTCCACCACAAACACACACACACTACCGAAACACAATGTATGATTTTCATGGCACTTTTAATTAAATCTCGAAGCTAAAAAAAATATAATCTAAATGTCAAAACACTAAATCTTGATCTTCTTGGTTCTTTCGGTAAAGTCACGTGACTTTACCGAAAGAACCAAGAAGATGAATCCCTGCAGTCACGAAAGCTTTAAATCGAAAAACTAAATCTTGACTTAAAGCTTTCGTGACTGCAGGAATTCATATAACAAAATAACAAAAAACTTTTGTTATTTTCTTTGAACCTATTACGTGACTTTACCGAAAAACCCAAAGAATGTCAAAACACTAATTTAACAAACAAGGCGACAGACAACATTTTAGTCAAGGCGAGATGAGCTAAAATTGTACACAAAATATGCATAAATATCAAAATGTAAAGTTGTCGTGCCCGAGGGGAGGTATGACTAATAGACATTGTAGGCACGAGGTGAAAGGTTAACCATCGGTGATTGAGAAGGGAAGGGTCTTGCATTGAGATTTTAATTGGTGGAGGCAGACAGCGGTGCAGCAGAGGATCGTTCCAAACAACGGAGGCGGCAGCAGCAGCAGAGAAGGGGCAACCAACCGTGGCGCAGAGGTTGATGTGGGGATTGGAGAGGAGGCAGTGGTTTGTGAAGCGGAGAGCATCAAGTGGAGGAGAGAGATGATGCCAAAGGAGGTAGCGGGGAGGGAAGCCCTGCGAAGACGACGACGTGAGCTCGTGAGATCCTGCGACTTTTTTACATATCACGAGTACGTACGAGTAGGGGGCCGTCCATAAATGACGTCACGCGATTTTGGACAATTTTTGACCCCCCCCCCCTCGTCACACGGCGTCACAAAAAGTCAGACCCCCCCCTCAAATATGACGTCACAAAGCTCTTCTCCCCCCCAAATAAAACATGCTTCAAATCGATTTAAACTATTGTTATTGTAGTACGTATTTAATGTGGCGCTGCACTCTGATGTTGTAAGAGTGTTGTTATAACAATTAGTGTTGGTATAACAATTCTATATATATTTAAAGTTGCGCATTTTTACGTGACGTCACATTTCTCAACCCCCCCCCCCCCTCATCACACATCGTCACAAATGTCTGACGCCCCCCCCCCCCAGGTGCGTGACGTCATTTATGTAGGGCCCCAAGGATACTCGTGGGATTTTATACCCACGCCGTGGTCCGTCAGAAGTGTGAATCGCGAATTGTGCTCGCCAAGCCACGAATGTAGAGATTGTCGCAGTGGACGAATTTTGATGAGTGGTAGGCGAATAGTATTCAGATGAAATAAGTAGTGTTTTAATCGCCTCAAATTCATTAAAATGCATGAAAACTCCTGACTTTACTTCTGTCGGGAATAATTTGTTCCCCTTCCATTAAATGTTCGTGCACTTCCAGAATGTTTGAGATGAGATGGTGATCTAACTCACTTATTGTCCCAAGGTAAAGGGTGCTATATCAAAATCAAATAAATATTATGATTACTCAATCGCAATCCCATTCGCAAGTTTTATAATTATTATTTCATTACGCACATTAATCGGCACCTGAAAACATAATGGCGGGAGATTGTGAGAATTTCTATCAAAAATGTGTCTCCATTCTTGCAGTGCCTCGGGCGAGTCGAGCCTGCTCTTTTCCCCGTAGCTCACCGCCACATGGAGACCATTTCACCCTTTGCTTTGCACGGCCTTTGGATGGGAAGTCTGTCCTGCCCTTCCGCTGGCCCGGGGCCGGCCGCATGCCCGCTCCATGCCAGCTCTCGCTCTCTCCGGACCTGGCAGATTTTTTTTTGCGTGCAGGGAGAGCGTGCAATCCATGGGGCGGCTTTTCCTACCAGAGCACGGCGACGTGGCCGTGGATTGAGCCGGGGCGCGGCGCGTGCGAGGCTGCTACGTCGTGGCCTCCAAAAGGGGCTTTGGTAGAAGCAACGTGGCACGTGAAAGGGCACGAGAGCCCTCACAAACTTATGGGGGGGGGGGGGGCGGGCGGTTGCGGTGGCTTAGTCACGCGAGATGGAATTGGCAGCAAATTAGATTTTTTTTTACACTCAAAACCCACGCCGGATTCCCTGGACATGGCGCCCCTAGCAAACGAGCCCTCGGCTTAACTTTCCTGCATTGCTTCAAGCGAGGCAAGCCCAGGCTGCGACCGCCCTCTCTTGGGAGTGCGTGACCCTGCCAGGCAGGTGGGCTCATGCGGCCAGGTGATCATCAAAAGGTTATGACTTTATACGTTAAGTTTAGTTTCAGATTTTTCCAATTGTTAAATTCGATGTTTTTTGGTTCACTGATCTCGGTGTGCTTCACCGTTGTTAGCTGACGACCTGCGCGCTCCCCGCAGTACTACAAGTGCCCGTACGGGTCGGCGGACGAGGGCTGGCTGCTCTGCTCCGGCTGCTACAGCGACGTCCTCATCCTGGACGCGCTCACCCTCAAGGTCCTGGGATCGCTGGCGTCCAAGGACGCACCCAATTGGATGGCCACCATAAGTGTCCTTAGGTGCACAAGAACGCTCGGTATGTACCTCATCTGACCTTCATAAAACATTAAATAATTATATTGTTCCCTTGGTTCTTTCGAAACTGTTGTTTTTTAAAGGAAATATTTGTTCCGACTAATGTGGTTCTGTCTATTTCGTGTTGATTTATACATTTAAAGTGAGAGAGTTGTTTTTGGTGGTATTTGTCCTCTAAAACAATCTGTTTTGCGCTGTGTTAGGGTTCCACTTTGTCCAAGTCAATAAGCAAGTCGTGGTTTGTGGGCATTGTTTTGCTCTGTTTGTGAGCTGTTGGCCATAGAGGTAGAACGGAGCCCAAGCAGTGCTTCCTTTTCAATTTACAATTTATCCGTTTTTTTTCCATCAAAGTCCTGTTTTGTGCCCGATAAGTATTATCCACTTGTCTTCCATTAAGACCATTGAAACTGCAACAGGATTGCACACAACCCGTCACTTGACCTTGCCTGCTGGATACCGTGAATGGTTTCGAGAAGTTGGTGGGAAAATGTTAAGCCGTTAGCAACGAAGGCCATGTTTAAATGCAGGCTTGAGGATGCTGTTGATTTCTCTGAGAGGCTTTCCAGCAATTTTCCTTTTCAAACTTGTCCAAACTACATTTTAACAGCAGCTGATTATGAATATATTTTTTTTAAATGGCATTCCGAATAGAAGACTCAACAAGCTCCGCTATATATTTTAGTGAAGGCTTTTGTTATTTTTTTCGCTCGAAAAAAACCGGCCTTTTATTACGAGAACAATTTATTCTATTGTTGTGGGTTATAAAACGTTTAAAATTATTTCAAATGTTGATGCAATGTTTTTCGGTCTTCATTTGTGGTATTTCAGTATTCTTTATCTGGCATTTTTGGGAAAAAACTGGGGCTTTGACACAATGCTTAGCGTTTTTTTAGCTGATGCTTCCACTTATGTTTTCAAAATTCCAAAAAATAAAGTATAACAAAATACGCTGTTATAGATTGAAAAATAGAGTGTACACTGACCACTATTCAACTACCATCTGACTAGTTGTTGAGGTATTTGTAGAAATTATCAATGGAACGCACAAGCAGGTTCCTACTAATCAATGGGACGGCTACTACTCTTATCCACAAAGTTTCCTGTCTATGCCCCTCTTCTTGACCTCATTGTTGTCAATCCACCGCTGGATACAGACTTCCCTTCAATGTTTCAGTCATGGGGTTGTTATGACCATACTTCACCTGGTGAGTGATGGTGAAGTTATCGCTCGCCACTGGTGCTAGCCATGACTGGGAATTAAACTGGAGTCACTGGGCTCATAGTGCAGTGTTGCTAATGACCACTCCACCACACAATATTTGTACGTGCGTTAATTTTAAAAGATTAAAACTAAAATATAAAATGGAATTTCAAAATAGTTGACTGCTCATTTTCACACTGAGTAGTCTTTTGCCCTGAGCCAGGCATGTAAACTCCACATTCCCTCGATGGAGGATAATAACTGGTATGGCATCAACTTATGTATGGTCTGTTTTAGAATAATGCTTTATTACCCTTACCTTAGACCTCTATAATTCGATGGACTTCCTCAAAATCTTAAAGGAAAATCCACTCTAAGTTTGCAATGAGAAGGACATCATGATAAAGAATATCTTGCGGGACCTTTTTGCCAATATCAAAGTATGAAAATATAAGAATAGGTTTTACTCTTTCTGGCAATAAAACAGGTGTTAAGATGTTCAACCAACAAATAGAAACCTTTTGCAAGGAATCAAGTCTGCATTAACCACACGTACTTGTGGTGAACATGCAAACAAACTCTGATTATAAATGCCATTGCCTTTGAAACTGATTGGTCTACACCAGAGACAGCCTTATTTAGGGCCTAGTCTCACTAGTGCCAGACCAGAGAACGCCAAAAGGCCTTGCAAAAGGGTAAAACCTATTCTTATTTTTCGTAGAATGTATTGTGATATGTTTTCTTGACAGCTGAACATTTTGCCTATTCACCATTTCTCAAACGACATCATCTTACTTTCATTGTTAGTTTTAGCGTTATTTTTTTTTTTACAAATTCATGTTTAGATTACAGATTATTCTACATGAAGTGGATAAGAATAGCTTCGGTACATGCCTTGATTTGCTGTGTTTGATGGGTATTATGAATTGTAGTTTGTTTTTACATTTACGCTTGGGCAGTTCTACAAATGAGGCAACCTCAGAATAAACATTTCAACATTATTCTAATAATCCACATAGTTCAAGATGAATTGTTTTAACCATTTGGGAACTCAAGAGACCAGGATGAGTCTAATTTACAAGAGTGATACGTGCCACCAAAATTACAAATGCAAAGCAAATAAAACAAAGTCGAGCGATGAAATGAAGAGCAATCAGTATAAAAACAAAAACACTCGTGTCTCACGAGGAATCGGAGATATTGCAAACATTAATCAATGTGTAATCAAAGCTGCATTTTTAATTCCCTGCAGCGCAAATCGGCTATATGGAAGGTACTTATCTATCGCTTTAGAAATATGACTTATTTATGGAACATATCAATAGGATGACACATGGACGAAAGCACTTGCACCATCACGATCTCAGCATGGACGATGGTCAGTATGTCTGAATATGTCCGACACTGTGATATTCTAAAGAGTATTTCTCTACTATGGGGACCTCATTTGCCAGTAAAAATATGATAATTGGTTCTTTACCCTTCTATCTGGCAACAAAACTGACACCTTTTTGCAAGGAGTCATGTTTGCATAGACCGCAATACCTGCAGTCATAATACAAACAAAAGAACATAACTCTGACAGTGCACATTATCAGAGTTATGTTCTTTTGTTTGTATTATGACTGCAGGTATTGCGGTCTATGCAAACATGACTCCTTGCAAAAAGGTGTCAGTTTTGTTGCCAGATAGAAGGGTAAAGAACCAATTATCAGTATTTCTCTATTTTCAAGATAGGTGGACATTTTAGTTTTCATTAGAGTCCTAATTGGTTGATATGCTATGTCCAAGTCAATGCGACTCCATGATTATTCAATTGATTACATAAGAGCCCCTTTTTTAAATCCACTGCTGGATGAGGACCACCCCATGACTTTTGGTGTACGGGGATAGCTGGCACTGGGGGGGGGGGGGGTCCCCTTACGTAGACTGCAGCAAGGCAGGAGAATGGGGGAGATGTGATGTAAGCTCCCTATGCATTCAAAATCTCATCCTTGCGTTGTGTTATGTAGGACAAGTAAACAAAACGGAATGCTCGAATACGTAGACATTAGTTCATCTCATGAAATGCATCACCACGCTGCATCCATGTGTGCAATGTTTGTATCTCCCCAGAGGACATTGTGGTCGGGGTGTCAGTGGCTGGCTTGCTGAAGGTTTGGAATCTAAGCAATGTTCTCAACAACATTCAGGTTTGACCCAATTGTGTTTTCATGTCATTAAATTTTGTTAGTTTGTTTTATTGTGTGTCTATTTATAGAGTAAATTTAAAACAATCTGAGATTGATTTTAAGGCTGTAAGCGTTACGTTCTAGAAGTCATGGATAGCAGGAGTTGCCCTGGGATCATCCAAAATGATCCGTGTGCTGTGTTCACTCTGAGTGCAACATCCTAGGGTGTGTGGCGCTTTGCACGCATATATGTCGGTATGTTAAACTTCTTTCGCACCGTACATAGCCAACGTGCTACTCGGAGGTGCGGGGGATGGACAACAAACTAAACACAAAAAGCAGTTCCAAAGAAATGAGTTCTCAATGTAGATTTCGTTGGTCAGTCATCACTCTTCTACCCCTACTGCCATGGTTATTGTTCCCATGACCTTCACACGTTAATTCCGGCCCGTTGACTGTTTTTATTCATCCTCACCGCGTTCAACCACCACCACCACCACCGCACTGCAGCGTCACCACACTGCTCTTTCCGCTTCTTCCCTTGCACTCCTCCACTTCGTAGTTATATCCCAACTTCTGTTTTCACCAAGTTTTGGGTGGCAATGTGTTTAGCACACTGCGCTCTGAACCATATCAACTGCATTTGATTTTTGGCCACTGCATCTACCCTTCCCACCCCCTGCTTCACCAACCCACAATGTGTGCATACACGCAGCCATTCTTGTCAGTCTACCGGTGGATGAGGGCCTCCCCACGTTGTGTAGGGAGGCCATGGTGGTGAGATGTTAACTACCTCGCCTGGTATACAGGAGGTCGTGGGTTCGATCCTGACCCTGACGCCTGCGTATTTTGAGTTTGCCGTAGTTAAATCTGACCACAGAAGCAACTGCCTCTCTCCGCACCGTAGCAGTGAGGTGGATTGCAGCGGTGGATGGCGGTGGATGAATGTGGTTTGCATTTCTAAGGACTCGGAGCCAGTGTTTGAGAAGGAGTCGATGGCGGTGGATGGTCTGGATGCTCAGGCCGTCGCGTTCTGCACCTACACCCAGAGCACCTTGCTGCTCGTCTGCTCACACATCTGGAAGGTGATTCCTTCACAGAAGCCTCTCACCTCATCATCATCATCATCCGACTCCATTATTCTTTCACCGTTGATGAGTGCACTCGGATAAGTTTTAACAAGTCCCCAATGCTCAAATCAGGAGAGAAAATAAGTGAATATTGAACACGAGTACCAAGGGGCCATGTCCGATCCACTGCACGATTTGTACTTCAATTGCAGCGACATAGTTTGCAGCATTGTATATACAGTATGTGTGTATGTTGAACTTCTTTCGCACCGTACGTAGCCAACCGTGCTAATCTGAGGCATGAGCATTTCGTGGTATTAGTATTCATTGTTGCAGTTGGCAGAGTTGTGGAAGAGGAACTGACGCCTTTAGGCGTCCTCTGGTCTAACACCGTTGAGACTAGGCTCGAAAGAAAGCTGTCTCTGGTTTGGACCAATTAGTTTCAAAGGCAATGCATATATTATCAGAGTATGTTATTTTTTGCATTCTGACCACAAGTATTGTGGTTAATGCAGACATGACTCATTGTAAAAGGTTTCAGTTTGGTGTTGTAACATCTTAACACAGCTGTTTTGTTGCCAGAAAAAAGGGGAAAACATATTCTCAGGAGGTCGCACGATGATGCAGCCTGCTTGAGTGGTTTACCTCGCACAGGAAGTTGACGGTGAATTATTACCATCAAGAAACCACGCGTGGTGATAGTGGTGACGATGCTCCGCGTGTGCGGTACACGTCTCCCGCAGGTTCTCAGCCTAGAGAACTTCTGTGCACGGTGCTGCATGGCAAGGACAGCCGATGGGCCCTGGACCGGGGGTGATTTCCTGGCTGCAAACAAGGTGCTCGTGTGGACGTCGCGAGGCCAAGGTTACATCTACAAGCTTCCGGACAGGTGCTTCTCCGCCCTCATCCGTCTCAGTCCATTTACTCGGAGCACTTACAGTGCAATGCTGCAATAAATGCACAATGACCTCAATTGGTGGTGAAGGTACCACATTGGCTCTCACAATACGGATATTCTGCAGTCCACACAGACAACAATGTTTCTGAGAACATTGTGTTAAGATGTTAAAACACCAAACTGAAACCTTTTACAAGGAGTCATGTCTACATTAACCACAGATACTTGTGGTCAGAATGCAAACAAAAACGTTCTCTGATAATATATGCATTGTCTTTGAAACTGATTGGTCCACACCAGAGACAGCTTTCTTTATTTTTTTCTTATCAGTTTCAAAGACAATGCATATATTATCAGAGTACGTTTCTTTGTTTGCATTCTTATCACACGTATTGTGGTTAATGCAGCCATGACTCCTTGTAAAAGGTTTCAGTTTGGTGTTTTAACATCTCAACACCTGTTTTGTTGCCATAAAAAGGGGAAAACCTATTATCATATTTTGGTATGGCAAAGGAGGTCCCATAATAATGTGTCTGTATATAAAATAACCTCTAAAATCTGACAGAACTAACACTCAGCATAACATTACCAACCTTTGAGGTAGAGCAACTTTAACACAAAATAAACTATAATCTATATGACTTAGAACTCATATGTAAAATGTAATGTCCTTTTTTGTCATCTGACCTTTTGGCCTTCCCACACCAATGTTCCCATATGTCTGTAGGTCAATGGCGAGAACACACACTTAGTTTTACATGCCAAGATTTTATTCACTATCTTAGATATTTGTTTACCAGATACAATCTTAGTTATTTGCAATATGGAATTATGTTAATTTGTTATTGACTATTTTAGTTGCATTCAGTCACAGCATGCAATGAGGAAATTGGTCATGTGACCTGGGCACGTGCCTATAAACATCTCAACAAAACTTCACGAGTGATAGGAAGTAGCCAAGACCCAGGCCTAGGTGTTTCGACCTGTGTCCAGCATCATAGAAAAGTGAAGCTTGACCAATGGAATTGTCTTGTCCATGAGACATGCTGTGCGCTTGGTGTTTTTCACAAACTTGCAGGCGACACGTTGAGCTGAAAAAGTGCATTGGTCGCAAGCTCTTGTTCACACCCCAGATGTTAACATTGTGCACTTTTACTTTGATGTCTTTTCAGTCCAAAGCAGATGACAGACTGCAGCTCCTTGAACCACGAGGCCCCACTACTGCTCTACATACTTGAAGACACACTCCCGGAGGTAGGGTCTCTGAGGAGTACTGAACCTCTTGTGTGTGTGTGTGTGTGCCATGGTCGACTCACTGCAAAGCCGAGATTCATTCCCGCTCACCACCAACGTTAGTGGCGGACTTACGAGTCGTCCTGGACCTCCCCTAGGTCCACTCAACCTGAATCAGTACCTGGAGACAAAGGCGGCCGGGCGTGGTGCTCGCCACACCACTCCCTCGTGTACTGTGCCGGCCTTCACAGGTGATCGTTAATAGCACTTGTATGGCGCATTAGGAATGGAGTAAAGTGTGGTTTTGTGAAAGGTGTTATGTGCTGTGCAGAGCATCAATGCACGTGTGTACAGCAGCCTGCGATGACTGAGTTGGGCCTGTGGGTGGCTGGCAGGGTTATTGATTAACCGGACTGGTATTTCAGTCACGTGGTTAATGGCGACTCGGTTGAGGGTGGCTGTGTGTGACACCACGTGCTGTTGCATTGTACAGGTAAAGGACCCAACGGTTGTTTTTGATCGTTATAGACTTGTTCTATACTTGTCCTAGACTTCAACCTTGGCTTTGAATTGTTAGTTTGTGATATATTCAATAGGAGGGGTTTTAGCACCGTGTACTGTAAAGGATGACGAACTGTAGTTACAACTTGTAATTCTTTAACTCTAATACTGTTTATTCTATAACCATGCCCATGCACCCAGAGTACGACTACTTGCAATGCTATTGAGAATAAAACACATGTACAGTGGTAAGTTGTACTATGGTGACAAGTACAGTACATATATTGCACACATACAATACAGGTAATGGGTGTAAGATACCGATATAAGTGGATGGTATAGATAGACATAAAGCTTAGGATTAAATTAATATTCGAATAGTGAAGTGCAAGGGTTATTGTCAAAGACAAATATGGTTTATCAGTAGTAGAATTGGGTTTAAGAGACACTTATTGATTAACCGGACTGGTACACTGTTCCTTTTTTTGCAGATTTACACTATAAATGTGTTTGCCCTCGATTTGGAGCACCTGCCCACGTCCTTCATTTCGAGTGTGCGACTCTTGCCCCAACAGTTTAAAAGGCTATAAGGGGGATCTGTGTATGTACACAAGCATGTGATTGTTGCAACGCAGTAGTTAGGAGATACCTTTCTATAAACCTATGTGAACACTTTAATGCACATCTATTAACCTTAGCAGCAAGCCATTACACGAAACCGTACTTCTAATTGTAATTCTGAATGCCTGGAATTCGAGAATTCACTCTTAAAATTTTAGCGCTGCAGAGGATGAAATTTTATAGAATCTCAAATTCCTCGTCAGAAGAATGTGAGGATCTTAATCAAAACGTCTAAAGCCACAGAACAAACACAATGGGCTTAGTCAAACTAGTTTAGGGCAGAACTCAGCCTTATTCAGCCTCCCCTATTATTCGTGAACACTGTATTGTCATGCACTGAGGCTTGAACACCATAAGCCTGAGGTGGCTGGTGGTGTAATAGTTGATCGTGGCTGCGTTGTCATTGCGGCTGCCTTAGGTTGCCACGACGAGAGGCTGAGACAGGTGCCTCCATCACCTCTGATTAGCACGGTTGGCTACGTGAGGTGCAAAAGAAGTTCAACGTACATATGACAACTGCTAAACAAATGCAATTCACTCTGCTGTATTGTCAATGCACATCTTGTTATTTGATGGGTACAAATATATGGCTTTAGTTTTTATATGTTTCTCATTTGCAAAACTTGTTGACAATCTCTTAGCTATACTCTTTGGTTCTTTCGGTAAAGTCACGTAGATAGAACATTATTAAGTCACGTAGATAGAAAATTATTGTTAATTATTATTAATTTTTTATCTAGGTAAAACATATTATTCATTTTATATCTAGGTATTTTTTTTAGTAACGTGACTTTTACCGAAAGAACCAAAGAGTATGGAGTCCTGCAGTCACGAAAGCTTCAAATCAAGATTAATCGCTTGGCTAATGCCATCTAAGCAAGCTCGGTACGAATCTCCCTTCTCAAAGGCCCTTCTTTGCCGTGCCAGCAAATGGCACTCATCTTGCAGCTGGATATTTCATCAGCCATTTTGAAAATCTTGGGTTTCTGATTTGCAGAACGATTTTCGTGAGCTCTCATTTTTTGGAGCAGGAACGTGTCAACAAACCACAGGCACGTGGACTCCAGCGTCGCCTGTGATGGCAAAGATGCATTCAAGTCCACTGCCACCGGAGACTAATGCTGCCCCAGCAGAATCAGTGCATGGCCAAATTTGATGAGGATTTGAGATGCTGCGCAGCGCTTTTGTTGTATTATTTATCACAGGAGTTGGCACAACAGGTGAATATATAAATGCACAGCGCGGCCTGGTTTTGGTTCGATACCAATCGATGGCAGCAGTGCTTTTTTGTTTCTTTGAATGCAACGGGAGGTGATGCAGGATTATAGTTTTAATTGACCACTTCATAGGCACTTTGGATGTAGTGTGTGTGTGCTTTTCATTATGTCCAGCCACCTGTGAAGGAAAGGGTTTCATGAAATGAGTTTTGAATGTGTCTGTGGGTAGTAGAAGTGCGGTGGATAGCACACTGAGCTGTACTCCCTGTGAGCATAGTTTGATTCCTGGCCATTCACATCAAAGGCGGTTGTTATCTGAAGTTAGCCCATGATTCCGCTCAGTAAAGGTGCAGCCCTACAATTTCTTGCTCATGCCTCTGCTCGTGTAAGGGTCTCCACTAGAGGGAGCTCGAGAGTCTTCCTATTGAGGGTATTTGGCCTACTCTTCCATTCTGGGCAGATGTCTTGGAAGAGGTGGGAATATATCCACACTTTACCTCACCGTACACGACCTGCCGATTGACCTAACTGCGCTGTACCCATGTACGCTGCTGGCTGGACATAGGCGGTGGGAGATTTAAGAATCTTGCACCTTTGATTCAACTGCCGCGTCGGGAGATTGAACTGTCACCCTCTGGATTACAAGGCCGGCGCGATAACGGTTACACGACGGCATCATCAACTTTTGTGCACTCGGCCTAAAATGGTCACACCTTGTTCATTGTGCCGGGATCACCGTTCGGGAGACAAGGACAACCTCGCTACATGATTATCGGTCTTTATCGGTGCTCGCTAACCGCACGGTGCGAAAGAAATTAGAAATACGTTCTCTTTCACAGCAGCCTGTCCGATCTCGGTGTGCCATTGTCTGAGAGTGCGTATCGAGCAACGCCGTGATGCGACGGATTAAGGCGAAGCGTGACGATTGCATCGACCCAAGCTCCGTTTCTGGCCGGATGCGTCGCCGTCGATTGATGTGAGGCGCACCTGGTGTGCGCTTCCCCCGTGTTGATTCGGAGGATAGAATGATACCTGCTGCGGATTTGAACTGCAGTGCAGAGGACCGGCAAAGGGACTGGCCTCAATTATTTGGTGTTGCATATAACGGGTACTTGTTAAAATGTGCTTTTTAAAAATTGTTTGACCAGGGTTGAAAAATAAGTTATATTTTTGCTTGTTCGTGTGTGATCAATAGGGGTCTTCCTCTTTGTATGTTTGTACACGTGTACACGTGTGTGTGTGTGAGGAAGGGTTTTGCAGTGGTTAGCATCTTGCTCTGTGATTCCAGGAACCATAGACTGTTTCTTGGCAAAAACTCCATGGCACTTGGTATCTTAACCTGTGCTGATCCTCCTCTCGGTAATCTCTGCCTTGTCTTATTACCGCGGGTAGTGTGTGAGCATTGCTCTCGGGAGATTGGGGCACTGCATGATGCTGGCCATACTAGCCTTGTGTATTCCGTGAGTGTGCAGTGTAGGTGTGTACACGTGTGTCTGATTTCTTTGGGGCGAGGGAAAGTAAAGCGGTTAGCGTGCTGCGCTACGAACCCGATGACTCAAGTTCAATTCCTGCTCACGGCCAACACCAGCGATGATTATCTGAACTAGTCCTGGGCCTCCCCTAGGTCGACTCAGCCTTAAAAAAGTGAGTACCTGGTGCTTGCTAATAGCAATTTCTCATCCAGTCTGTTAAGGCTATAAGAGGAATCTTTGTGTCAAGATTTAGTCAGTCGTTTGCCACTCCGAGCCCACCGACCTGAGTTTGATTGCGAGCCACGAGTAACATCAGCCACGGGCGATATCTGAACCGGTTTCTGGATCCCCACTTCACCAAGCCACACTGACCGGCGTGGTGAAGTATGGTCAAACAACCCCTATGACTGAAACAGCGTGGGGAGGGATATATGCAGCAAAGCACATCCTCAGTTAATGGACTGATTTTTTTAGCTTGAGTTTACGTGACAAACCTTACCAATTGGCTGTGTCGGGTGGTGGTGGGTTTAATGACACATTCATATATTGACGCGATCTAACCCAAAAAACCTCTGTTATGGTTTTCTAGCTTGATCAGCATTGCTTTACCCGGCATCACTTGCCGTGTTCTTCAATTCTCACGCGTGGAGGAGCGAACGCGCTGCATCCGCGACGGCGGTCGGCACACGCTGTGCCCTGTCAGCGGATGTCTCGTGGAGGAAGGAAATCGTGGTGGACCCACGAGGTGAAGTGATCAGCAGGAGGTCGCGGGGCCTCCAGTTGTACCCCCAGCAGGGACACGAAAGCATTCACGGCCACCAAGGCACAGAGAGATATATACGTTTTAAAATTTCATGTTCAAACATACTCGGCTGCCCGAGGCAATGTTTCGTCCGTTGCTCTTCTCAACCAGAGTAAAGAGAAGAATCTGCCACGAGAAACAAAGGCGGAGGAGTTAAATATATTTTTACTTTAATAGTCGGAGGAATAAGGCCGCTTCACGTCAGCAATTTAAACAATAGCCGCGGTGTGAAACACTTAATCCGGGTTGTTATCGTAACAATTTGCCTACATTTGTTACGATAAGATTTTGGGTGTGGGTCGTTGATAAGTGGCACGAGCAGAGTACAGTCTTGTGCTGCTCAAGGGCATATTATAGGGCATCAGCTGACGACCCTGGCTAGACCGGTTGATTATGGTGTCATGTCTT